GTTGGAATTCTATTAAATATTCTTGTATCTAGTAGAGACTTGGGTTATAAAATTCTAAAACTGTAAGTATTTAATATTTTAGTATATAGTCGACCTATTAAATCTTGGGTGCTATATGGAAAAAGACTACAAACTCTTCTTTTATTTTTTAGAAAGTTCAAAATCTGTGATATATGCATTAAGCAAGTCACCTCTGTGAATTTCAAAGGCATGTTTGTCAACCTTTACAGTTTGTTTTGTTATAGTGTTTTGTTTTCTTACAATACTGTTTATCGATAACTGTATATAAAAATAAGAAAGTGTACTATATACAAAAGAGCTAGATCCAATTATGCAGCAAAGGAAAAATACACTGCTAATCACAACAATCTATCTAATCATTAAATAACATCTTGGATTACACTAATTACATTGGTGATTTTTACAACAATAACTCTAGCATGACTATTGTTAATGCATAGGATCAAAGCATATAATAGATAAATAGTTTTAAACTATGATTTTAGTTTATCAGAAAGATCAATAGTATTATTCTCTGCTCCACACTAGTAATATAAATTAATATTTTTTAAATGACTTGAGTAATGATTCTGTTTAATAGATAAATTACAAGAAATATTATATGTATAAAAGTTAATCAAAAAGTAAATAGTCTTTTGGAAGAATTGATGACCCACAACTATAAAATATACCTTTAATATATTGTATAATTTTTTTGGAATTTTCTATACATAGAGCTATATTACTATAAAAATAATGATATTTTCTACAGAAATCATAACAAATTAGAAGTCTAATTTTTGTATTTATAAAAATACTAGTTTAAAATTCTTTATTTATAATTTTTTGATATGTTAATTAATATTAGCTTATTAGTTAATTGCTAATATAGTTTGTCAAATTCTTTATAATGCACTTTATCTAAAAAATATTTTTAAAATTATTATCAAAATAAATTTATAATTTTATTATAAAACATTACTAGCAAAAATTTTTTGATAAAGTAAAAAAAAAAATAATTCAAATTGATTATATAGCATTTAGTTGGTTAACTTGTTGGCATTCTTTACTTGTACACTTTTTTAAAAAATTAATTTTATAGGCTAACTATAGAAATTCTGCATTTGTTATTTTGCACTAAAAAGTATCATAAGTAATATGAAAATATTTAATAGATTATCACCCTCATTATCTATTAAATATAAAAAAACATCAGCCTAAAATCATTTAATTTTTGGGTTATCTTTGCTGATAAATTATATTTTATTATCTCTTAAAAAAATATTTAAATTTTTTTAAATAAAACAAGAAGTAAATAATTTAAAATTTTTTTGTTTTATATAATATATTATTTGAAATATATTTTACTAACTTTATTACAAAATTTTTTAAAATTATTATTATTTTTTTTAAATTTGGCAGTCTTGCCAATACCGTTTATTAGTACGCTAAGGTATTTTGGTTACAAATATCACATGTACAATTACAACACTCTAATGTATTACAATATATTGGCTTACCCAGTTACTAACTTAGTACCTATGTGCGACCTGCTATATGAGATTTTACCTCCTTAATAACCACCCTGCAACCAGACCAATTAATAAATCACTGGATAGTTTCCAAATCTATTTTTATCATATATATTCCACTTATATACTACTGTAAATGTCTACCAACCAACTTCCATCTCTCATCACTTATCACATTACTCCTAATTCAGTACTTGTATTACTTCCAAATTGGTGTCCTTCGAGTGGCGCTCTTTGTGCTTCCAGTTTGGTGTCCCTAGAGGAGTTACTTTATGGGCCTAGCTATATCTCAAACAGTTAAGTTGCTAAACTAGGATAATATTTTACGTCAATCCAGGTATTTGTGTCATACACCACCAAATTAGGCTACCGATTCTTTTTTAGTACTCCCTATTGGTATAGTGTTACAGAAGTCTAGATCTTTAAGACAAGAGTTATGTACCTCATTTAATCACTGTTACAAGCCAGTAACCCAGAACCCGCGCTTCTGCCATATTTCATCATAGACTTCTATATAGGTTGCGCGACTATTATTCCCTAGCCTGTCTTTATTTTTGTACCACTGGATCGCTTGCTTCCATGCTTTTCGGAGTTTCTTTTAGGCAGTTTTCATTGTTTCTTTACACCAGAGGTGTTCTATATTTGGTAAAGCCATCCTCTTACCACAGCCCCTTACTATATTCACCACTTCTCTCACCACTTCTAGAAATACTACATATAGCCGTCCTCCTAATCAAGATCCCAATGCCACCTTAGGGTTGTTGGTGCTACCTTACCAATCATGGATTCATATACACAGCCTTCTGCAGTAAACCTTCTGTGACCCATATCACATACAGTGCCCAGTTTTCTCTATGGCTTGGGGCTCCTTCTAAGAATTCTTTATAGGTCAAATATATACATCACATGGTCTTACCACCACAGGGTTCCACATTCGAAAGCTTCTAAAGGTTACAGAGATAATTAATTAAATTAATTACCACTAGCTATAATTGAACTGTCGACCTCATCTGTGAAGAGTTAGGTGCCTAGACCACTAGGCTACAGGACTCTAACCCTTATAAAAATTTTTTAAAATTATTTAAAAACTTTTGATTAATTAAAGTTTAAAGTTTGTATAACTTTAGAGTTAGCTATTAAATTTTTTTATATTTTTTAAAATTTTATATATTTTCAACTTTAAAAAAAATGTTTGCTTTTAAAACAAGTCTTAATTTTATTAGTAAATCATAAAAGTGCAATAATAAAAGTTGTCATCCTTTGTATAATCTACAATATTGTACTAAAAACTATATTTTTAAAAATTATTTCTTTAATTAAAATTTTTTTAAAAATTTTATATTTTGTACTTATAATTAATTACAATTTTTTTTTTATTATTAAAATACAAATATAGCAAAAATATAATCTTTATTTTCAAATATTATTGTGTAAAATTTTATTTTTTTTTATTATTATTATTTTTTTTTTATAATTTGGCAGTTATGTCTTAGCTTTATTAAGCTTTGTACAATTTCTTTAGAATATTAAAATTTTACAACTAGGCATTTCAAAAAGTAAGTGATAAACTCTAAACTTGTCAGCAGTTAGCATATGAGAACTATCTCTAAACGACAAGCGCCATAGCCCACATTGTTACCTAAATTACAAGTTAAGACTAACCCGGTTACCAACTTGGCACCTATGTTCAACCTGCTATAGCAAGATTTTCCTTCTTCTGGACCCCTCCTATGACCCGGCTCTCAACAGTGGACCTTGCCACCCGTCATGACCACCTCTTCCTTCTTTCAAACTTCTTCTATCTAAGCCTGACAACAAAATTAAAACTCTTATTTGTACATAAAAGTAAAAAAAATAAAGCCATGTTTATGAAAGATATAAACATTTTAGAAAAAAAAACACCTCATGGTGAGAAAAAAAAACTTTTCAACAAATTCTAAAATAGTCTAATATAAATGAACAAAGATGAAAAAAGCAAAAAAAAGAAAGATAGCCATGACACACTATTATAGTCCGTGTCAGGCATAAGAGTAAAAATTATAACTAATTACTATTTCTCAATTGTAAACCTTCGGTTTAGCTTTGGGACTCGTTCTGAGCACCGACTTGACTCAGGTATCTCCTTAACAGGGGTGTAGATCTCTTCCCCATACTGTAGCACTATATTTGCAAAACAACAAAACACGTAGTTGTCTTCTACTGAGTTTGTCCTGATTTGGTAGGTGTAAACAATACCGATCTTTTGGAGGAAGTAAGCCAAAAGCCCACTTTTTGTTGAAAATTTTGGTGAGAACAGCAGAAAATGAAAACAAAAGAGAGACCTCTTGATATCACTTAAAAGAGAGTGAGTTACTAAAAACAACAAAGACAGCCTTCCTCCAGACAGTGCACTACTCAAATTTTGTCGGTAAGTGATAAACTCTAAACTGTTTTTGTTGAGTAGTTTTTTCAGAAAAATTTGGACCAAGTGATCGTCAAAAAGAGTTGTCCTTGTTTTGTATAAAATTTTATTTAAATATTTTAAATATTTAAAAAAGTAAATCAAAAATATATTTATAGTATCTCTTAATGGATAGAGATTTGCAAGCAAATTTGCCTGCATAATTACTATAAATATATCTCTGATTTACTTTTTTAATTATTTAAAGAGATTTACTAATAACCAGCCTGGATAATTTTATTAAACATCATCTTACTGTATAAATTATAATATGCTATGTAATATAAATATATAAATTTATATTGTACAACTAAAAAATTAAAGCCAAGTAGATATATAGTAATTTATATGCGTCACGTAAATTTTAATTTACAAATTTGGTAGTAATTAATTTAAAAACTACCTATATATGTATGTTTAACCTCTGTATTTATAATCGTATAAGTGACTAACAATATACTAACCATTTAATTTGCCACTATTAAAGTTGTTCTGGTAGATATTACTATGACCCAGTGCTGTAAATTTTTTTTTATGCAGTTAAATAGCTTAGTAATTAATTTAAAAACTACCTATATACGTATATATGACCTCTGTATTTATAATCGTATAAGCGACCCAACAATATACTAACCATTTAATTAGCCACTATTAAAGTTGTTCTGGTAGATATTACTATGGCTCGGTGCTATAAATTTTTTTTTATATAGTTAAATAGCTTTAATTCTTGCATAGCACTACAATAAAATCACATAAATAGCTATAAAATTTAGACTTTTGAAAATTTCATAGCTAATTCACAACTAAACACGCATTAGTAATAAGATAATAATAAAATAGAACAATACGATGAAAAAAGATTCTTATATCAAAATGAAGTTTCTAAACTATTTTTGGATCTGATAAGCAGATGCTTTGACCAACTGCTAAAAAATTAGCTAATACACTAAATCATTTTTATAGAGATTGAGAAATAAAAATTAAAATAGACATATAATCTACTAAAGAAGCTTGTTCTAAAAACAACACTAGTCCTAACATAAAAAAAAAATATCAGCATGCACTTTTACCTTAACCATCAAAAAGAATTTATTCACCATTTTTATGTACATATGAATTTATACAATACATATTTTTATTGTACCTTTTAATTCACATACAGGCATATTTATACTTTAAAACTTAGAACCATTGTACAAATTGATTATAGCAATAGGTGTATTAAATATTAATTATGCAATTGCAACAAAAATATAAAAACAAGCTATGCATTTTGACAATGTAAATAAGTATAATCAGTTGCTTTACAAACTTTACAAGGTGTACTGCAACTTCTTTCATTATGCCCTCCTTGTAAACAATTGCAACATGTATACCCATCTCTAAAATGAATATTACTACTTGTAAATTTACTCTTTGAATTCTTTGAAGCATCTTCTTCTATAGCTGCTTTTAGTCAGTTAGTTTGTCTTCCTTTTGGTTTTGTTTGTAGTGGATTATAAATCATAGGCTGACTTTTGCTACTTGTAGAATTATAGTTTGCTTGCTCTACTTGTTGAATTAAGCCTTGTAAAGTAGCTGCAACATGTATTAAACAAAATTCTGCTGCTAATAATACTAACTTACGCCCTAAAGCTGCACATTCACCATAAATTTGCCTTGATATTATAGATTCTTCAATTTCAATATTTTGAATTAAATTATCTTTTTCTAAATTCCAAGTATCGTACATAGAAGTTAGAGCCAAATTTTCAGTTTGTGTGTTAATAGTATCAAAGATATTCCAGAAGAGTCATATATAGTATTAATCTCATAAATTTCAAAATTCATTTTGTACTATTGACTTTTTATTAGAGCCATACTAAATTTTGTGGTTTTTGTTTGTAGCATTATTTGGAAAAAGTGGCGGCAAACCAATCCTTCACTAATTAAAAGTAGACATGTACAAACATGTGAATTGTCTTGAAGCAACACTACATAGTTAAATGACATTGTATTTGCTACCATATACCTGATCTCCCAAATTTCCAAAATATTAATGATACCAACATGATTAATAAGAGACTTGAGTGCAATTTGACATTTGTCAGTGTGATCTTCAAGACAATTAGTTGTATCAAAATTATTGACTTTTAAAAAGTTAAACATTAATATATAAAACAACTATTTATACTAACAACAAATTCAACTTACTTCATCACAATTATCGTATCTGTCAGAAGAGATTAATCTTGAATAATATTCAAAACAGATATCGATTTAAGCCTTTTGAATTCAAAAAATCTCATCTGTTAAAGCCAAATTAAGAAGATCAACTATATCCAGAAAAACACAAACTGCCATTGATGTTTTAATAGTAAATGGTAAATTTTCTAAGTAGTCACAATACTCAGCTTTTTGAAACTCAGAATATAACATATTTTGGATTTCATTAAAACAATTCATCAGTGTTGAGTGTAATACTATTAATAGATTTTACTTATTAAGTAGAAGACATTCCAGCATTAAATTTCTAAAAAGATATGTCAATTGCAACCTAAACCTAATTCCATATTAACAAGATTATAGATTTAATTTTAATTATCTGAAAGGTATAGCACTTAGCCCATTTTTCTTTAATTGGGTATAAAGTATTCCTCAATTATGATGAAGCCTCTAAAAATTTAATATATAACGAATTGAATCGTAACTCAAAAATCTCTTCAAACAAGGTATTGCGACATATAAAAAAATCAGTTTGAAATTCTGCAAATTGGGAACCAAGTAAATGCATCAAATGTTTTTTGATATTTTGAACTACATGAAATATGCAGTGTAAATATCGAGTAGTTGGAAGTGTAATCTCAATCGCCGGTCCTAATCCAGTATCGCAGTCAAAGTATATTGTTGAAGGTGATAAGTTGTTTGTAGCTGCAAGAAAATTTTTAAGAACCCATGTATATGATGATGTTGTCTTATCAGACATTAGTGCTTGACCTACTAATCTTGAATGACGATGCTAATCAACACTAACAAATAAGCATAATGCTATTCGATATTTATTGGTTCATGCAGTATTATTTGTCAAAATGATGTCGTGATATTTTAAATCAGTGTTGTCACTGGAAGAACACTAGAAGGCCACTAAGTGGCCAAAACATATTAACAAAGCAAGAACAACTCATCTTAATTGATTCTCTATTATGCTATTGTGAAGGATCGATAGCTGTTCTTTTTAATTAAAAAATTTCCAGCATACCAGCATTTAAAAACATACTTATACATATCTTCATTTTTATTCAATTTTTTGTCTTGAATTCGCTACACAAACTTGGTTTAATGCCTATATGCCAACAATACCAAATACACATAGTCCCAGTGCTTAAATGTCATTCCAACATATAATTATGATGCTTGTTCAAAAATGGCGTCAGGTATTGAAAGTGTTTTAAATAATCTTCTTTTTGTTATTTTAGAACATGATTCCTGAACCTCTTTATGACTTTCAGTATTAATATAAGACAAATTATTATTCTGATTACTTTTATAATCTTTATTATGACTTCCAGTATAAGACAAAACTCTTTCTTGAAAATTATTATAAGCTTCATCATAACTTTCATCCTTATCATCTTGAACAACATGAGAGGCTTCTTCTCCATAAGTTTCAGCATAAGAATTCTGAACATATTGAAAGAATTCTGCGAATTCTTTATAATCATTAAAACTATTGTCATTGATACTAAACTCATCCATTTTTGTAGATACTATATATAGAAACCATTAAATCAAGTTTAAATAAAACAAGGTAAGAGGCAATAGAATATCTGTTGTAGTTATTAATTAAACACAAATAAAAAAAAATATCAGATATATAGAATTAGTAAAACACATTTAACATCACTAATGCAAAAAAAAAAAAGCAATATATGAGTTTAAATATATTGGCTTAAATATAATAATGCTATACTATATAGTGTTCTTTGCAACATAAACTCTTCTTGTCGATTATTTCACATGATAAGTGAACTGCTTATTCAGTAACAATATACAAGTAACAACAAAAATTGATGTCTAAATAGTGAACAATGATAAAATGAATATAATATAACAGATGGAATATTGCAGTTATTGATGTGTGATTCAAACTTGAAAATATGCAAAAATTAGATGAAGAAATATGTGAAGATAAATAGTTACAACATATGTTGGTTTGAAATACAAACTTATTGTATTTGCTTTTTTCAGGATGAATTTAACTTTTTTTTTTGCATTTACTATTTTATAAGACAATGCCAAACTGCCTTTATTGAATAATTTCGTACAAGAAACAGAAAGAAAATCGATCATTGTTCTAATTAGTCCTTTTATTTATTTTGAAGTATAATGATAAGTATAATAAAACTATATATACAATGTCGATCATACACTATAAAATATATAATAGAGTGTTGTTTAACTATAATAAATCTGTTAGGTTGTTGTTTTAATAAATTCAGTAAGATGATTTTTATAAAATCTCCTATTTAAAATATTTAAATAAAATTTAACATAATAATATTTAAAAATAAGAATTATATTTTTGCAATATTTGTATTTATATTATAAAATAAAATTTTAGTTTGCTTATAAGCTAAAAATAGACAATTTTAAAGAAAGTTTTTAACTAAAAAATTAATTTATATTTTTTTGACAAACTCTTTAAATATTGATTTCAAAAATATAGTTTCTAATACAATATTATAGTTTATATAAAGGATGACAACTTTTATTATTACACCTCTAGTGATTTACTAATAAAAATCAAGACTTGTCTTAAGAGTAAATTTTTTTTATAGATGAAAAACATATAAAATTTAAAAAAATCTAAAAAAGAAATTGTATAGTAAAAATTTCAATACAAAGACTTTAAACTTTTATTGTACTAAAGTTTTTTAATAATTTTAAAAAATTTTCTTAACAAAGCTAATAAAACGAGTCACAATTAAATTACCGACAATCACGTTACTGACATCCCATTACACCGACGATCTACTTACCAACAAACTTTTTTTACCAACAGCTTATTTGCCGACACACAATTTACCGACAAGCTTGTTTTTACCGAAACGTCGATTTCACCGATACATATTTCACCGACAAGCTTATTCTACCGACAATACACGTTACCGACAAGTTTATTCTACTATCAATACAATTTACCGACAATACAATACACCGACAATACAATACACTGACAATACGAACACGGATTTCGAATAAAAAAAATATATTCAGAATTATTTATTCGCAAAAAAAACAAAAAAGTGACTCAGATTATGAATGTAAGTTATATTTATGCAAAAAAATAATGCGATACTTAGCCTAATGTAAAAAAAAGGTTAGACTTAGCATCAGAGAAGAGTTGAATTATTTATGTAAAAGAAAAAAAAAGATGCAAAAGATGCTTGACCTGACTCAGATTATGAATGCAAGAAAAGGTAGAATTAGCATCTAGCGAAGTGTTGAATATATATATATATATATATAAAAGGTGCAACGCGATACTTGACCTGACTCGGATTATGAATGCAAGTTAGAATTAGTATCTAGTGAAGTGTTGAATTATTTATGTAAAAAAAGGTGCAATGCGATACTTGACCTGACTTGGGTTATGAATGCAGGAAAAGTTGTAATTAGTATCTAGTGAAGTGTTGAATTATTTATGTAAAAAAAGGTGCAACGCGATACTTGATCTGACTCGGATTATGAATGCAAGAAAAGTTAGAATCAGTATCTAGCGAAGTGTTGAATATATATATATATATATATAAAAAGGTGCAACGCGATAATTGACCTGACTCGGATTATGAATGCAGGAAAGTTAGAATTAGTATCCAGCGAAGTGTTAAATTATTTATGTAAAAAAAGGTGCAATGCGATACTTGACCTGACTCGGATTATGAATGCAAGAAAAGTTAGAATTAGTATTTAACAAAGTGTTGAATATATATAAAAAAAAAGGTGCAACACGATACTTGACCTGACTCAGATTATGAATACAAGAAAAGTTAGAATTAGTATCTAGTGAAGTGTTGAATATATATAAAAAAATAAAGGTGCAATGCGATACTTGACCTAACTCGGATTATGAATACAGAATTAGTATCCAGTGAAGTGTTGAATTATTTATGTAAAAAAAGGTGCAATACAATACTTGACCTGACTTGGATTATAAATGCAAGAAAAGTTGGAATTAGTAACTAGCGAAGTGTTGAATATATATAAAAAAAAAAGGTGCAATGTGATACTGACCTGACTAGGATTATGAATGCAAGAAAAGTTAGAATTAGTATCTAGCGAAGTGCTGAATATATATAAAAAAAAAGGTGCAACGCAATACTTGACCTGACTCGGATTATGAATGCAGAAAAGTTAGAATTAGTATCTAGCGAAGTGTTGAATTATTTATGTAAAAAAAGGTGCGACGCGATACTTGACCTGACTTGGATTATGAATGCAAGAAAAGTTAGAATTAGTATCTAGCGAAGTGTTGAATATATATAAAAAAATAAAGGTGCAACGCAATACTTGGCCTGACTCGGATTATGAATGCAGGAAAAATTAGAATTAGTATCTAGCGAAGTGTTGAATATAAAAAAAAAAAAAAGATGCAACGTGATACTTGACCTGACTCAGATTATGAATGCAAGAAAAATTAGAATTAGTATCTAGCAAAGTGTTGAATTATTTATATAAAAAAAGGTGCAACGTTATACTTGACCTAATGCGGATTATAAATGCAAGAAAAGTTAGAATTAGTAACTAGCGAAGTGTTGAATATATATAAAAAAATAAAGGTGCAACGCGATACTTGACCTAACTCGGATTATGAATGCAGAATTAGTATCCAGCGAAGTGTTGAATTATTTATGTAAAAAAAAGTGCAATGCAATACTTGACCTGACTCGAATTATAAATACAAGAAAAGTTGGAATTAGTATCTAGCAAAGTGTTGAATATATATATAAAAAAAAAAAGGTGCAACGTGATACTGACCTGACTAGGATTATGAATACAAGAAAAGTTAGAATTAGTATCTAGCGAAGTGTTGAATATATATATATATATATAAAAGGTGCAACGCGAAAAATGACCTGACTCGGATTAGAATTAGTATCCAGCAAAGTGTTGAATTATTTATGTAAAAAAAGGTGCAGCGCGATACTTGACCTGACTCGGATTATGAATACAAAAAAAGTTAGAATCAGTATCTAGCGAAGTGTTGAATATATATGTATAAAAAAAGGTGCAATACGATACTTGACCTGACTCAGATTATGAATGCAAAAAAAGTTAGAATTAGTATTTAACGAAGTGTTGAATATATATATATAAAAAAAAAAAGTGCAACGCGATAATTGACCTGACTCGGATTATGAATGCAGGAAAAGTTAGAATTAGTATTCAGTGAAGTGTTGAATTATTTATATAAAAAAAGGTGCAGCGCAATACTTGCCCTGACTCGGATTATGAATGCAAGTAAAGTTAGAATCAGTATCTAGCGAAGTGTTGAATATATATATATAAATTTGTCACTCAATCACCCAAAATGGTACAAACAACTACGAAACAACTATATGGGATATCTTCTTGCTGCTCACGTGGTCTACAGCTCATTTCTAAGATCGCTTATTCTCTTTATATTATTTTACCTATCTTTAAGCTACATTTTGATATCCAACTTGTGCAGTTAGGCTATCATACCTACTCTGATATCCAGGCTGTTCACCTGGGCTATTGAACTAACAAAACTAATTATCCATCTTCCCTCACCCTTCTTTCTGGCAGTGGGTGAGGCGAGTGGGTATTATAACAAAGCTAGACTTGCGTCGAGCTAGCAGCAAAGACAAAAAAGGGAGAACAAAAAATCCTAACTTATCCTTCTATTTAACTATTTACAAATAACTTCATACTTACCGATACTTTTAACAATTAAACTCAAACACACAATTCATTATCTTACTAATTAAACAATATATTATACTTTCTAATCAAACAATACATCATACTAACTAATTAAACAATACATTATACTCTCCAATCGTTCAATCTAATGTCATGGGTCTGGGTTGTGATCTCGTGACAAATGAATGCCTCGTGACTTCGTTCACGGCATTTCAAAAAGGTGCAACGCGATACTTGACCTGACTCGAATTATAAATACAAGAAAAGTTAGAATTAGTATCTAGCGAAGTGTTGAATATATATATATAAAAAAATAAAGGTGCAACATGATACTTGACCTGACTCGAATTATGAATGCAAGAAAAGTTAGAATTAGTATCCAGCGAAGTGTTGAATATATATAAAAAAATAAAGGTGCAACGCGATACTTGACCTGACTCGGATTATGAATGCAGGAAAAGTTAGAAATAGTATCTAGCGAAGTGTTGAATATATATATGAAAAAAAAAGGTGCAACGTGATACTTGACCTGACTCGGATTATGATTAAAATTAGTATCCAGCGAAGAATTAAATATTCCTGCAAGAAAAAAAAAGATGCAGTGTGATAATTGATCTAACTCCCGCAAGAATTATTACTTAGAGTAAATTTAAATTATTATTAAAAAAAAAGGTGCAACGCAATATTTGATCTGATCCGGATTATGATTCAAAGAAAATAAATAGAAAAAAGTTGAATTATTTATATAAATAAAAAAAAGGCGCACTGCGATACTTAATTTGCGATAAAGGTAAATTTACCCATCTGGT